ATAGGAATGCCGTGTACCGCTACAGTGTGTTTCACCTTTACCAGCGCTTCCTATCTTTTGATATTTTTATATGTAGCCAGCAGCGTCCCTTTCGCTCCATTACAGGTAGGGCTCCTACGGAGGCTCCTACTACATATCCTTCGTTATGGGCACCATTATGTAGGAAGCAGGGCTATGCTGTGGAATACCAGAAGCTGGCCGAGGCAGCTCGTCAAGAGCCCTCGTACCGCGACAATATTCATTTCTTTCATGACATTGCGAATCACCATGATCCGAAATGAGCCCGGTAAGAAATTCTGGAGTTGCGGCAAGATTTCTTTCCTCTCTTAGCGTAATCCCCTGGTCGAGCTGTAAATGAGTGCTACCTATCCTGGACCTTTAATCATCATCTTGATAACGAAATAATCAGACGATCAACTCCAACTCGAAAGTGAGGTCGCCTCCTTTCTCGACTCGCACTCCGCTGGGTTTTGGCAAAGGAGCATCAAGAAATTTTCTGAGCGATGGAGACAAGTGGTGGACACTCATGGTAGATATAAGACCGGTCAGGAAGTTGTAACCAAAAAAGATAAAATTAAAATCAAAAATTTGAAAAAGTGTTGCAGGACTTTCTTTCCAACCTAATATGAAAATCTCTGCTCTCGAGCATAACCGTTGCAGTGTGTGCATAAGTCGCATACATCGCACCCCTCAAGTTATGGAATTGTTCTGATGAATATTATACCAGTTTTGCTCCGCCCGCTATCGCGCGCATCACACGGCAGGCTTTAGCGAAACTGGAGGACCCATGGAATATCAGCATGAGGTACTCCATTAACCACCTCACTATTGAATGTGTTAGACCTTTCCCAGTTTCGCTGAAGTCCATCGAGAATACGCGTGATAACGTCTGGAGCTGAACTATTATCCTTCTATTTTATAAAGCGCTAACTTTGTGTGTCGGTTTGTATGTCTGTATGTGTGTATGTATGTATGTGTGTCCGTCCGCAAAATGAAGTGAGTGAGAAGGAAGCTCATGGGATAAACAAACCGCTAACAAATCGGGTAGCTTACAGGATTTGAGCTATCAATGTTTTGCAAAGCATGATTGTGATAACCCAGACGGCTATATAAACACGCACTTACCAGGAAAGGTCATTAGGCCAACCCGGCCAAATGAAATGAGGTGCACATTTCTGTACGCAGCATGAGACGCTGAACTCAAATCTGCTTTCACTATCTTTACTTTATCTATCACTTTCAGTGTTTTACCTGCAATCACATGTTAGCCGCACTATGAAAGTATCGAAAGGAGAACCGAGGCACTGGTGTCGTGAGCCTTCGGTAGCGCAGTTGGTAGCGGTCGTGTTTCTCACGGAGGGGGTCGGGGGTTCGGTCCCTCACGGGGTTTGTTGTTTTGCTTTTTTTCCAACATGGCTGAAAAGCCTTTTTGAATCTGTTATTTTACCAATGGTCGCCCGACGCTACATCTACGAAGAGTTTGCAAGCTGACCCTCTTAAACTTAAGCACTACTTGTCTGTGAAAGCCCATGGTGCCCGTAGTGCAGGTGCTATGCTTTTCCGTGGCAAGTAGGTACGATATTCGTATTCAGGGGATCAAACTACCCCTAAAAACGAGTTTTTCGCCAAATCTGAGGTGATGAACTAATTGAGAAAAAGCGGAGCAGTGATGGGATTACCACTCCTCAAACTCCACTTTTTTGGGTTGACCAATCATGGACGACGGGGGAAGGGGAGAGAAGGTGTTGTATTAGGAAATAATGCTTTGCAGATCTTTGGATGATGCAGACGGGCAAGCCAGACACAATTTTTGTCTATTATGAAAAGTTTTAAAAAATTTATTCTACCCAAGTGCCAGCCTTTTGTAATGGATTGGTGGATCGGTGAGTAAGTGACTGCCCAAATTTTCGAGGTTAGGTCAAAATTTCAGAATTCGCTAGAAGTTCGCTCAAAGGGAGAGTCTGACTCCCTGATTACGAATATCATACTTGTTCGAAGCAAAAATGCCTGGCGCCTGCGCTACAAGCGCCCAAAGTAGTGAGGAGCGATGCCGCCCAAGTTCATTATTAATTGCCCTTAAATTCTTTTTACTGCAAGCATGTTGGACTAGCAATGTTAGGAGTCTTCCTAGCTATCTTACTGCAAACGGCAAAAGAACAAACTCGCCAGGGAGTTGATCCCCTGACCTCTTTTTCGTGAGCCTCGACCACAGCCCCTGCGCTTTTCTGCTTCATAATTCCTTTCAGAGAAGAGTTCAGCAGATAAGGAACACATATTTGAGCTCAGCGTCCCAAGGCGCGTATACACATATACATCTCATTTCAAATGGCCGGGTTGACCAAATGACCTTTCCTGGTTAGCACACTTTCGGTCATTCCACAAGGTGATGCTGTGGTAGCCGGCGAGCAGAGGAGGAACGAGGGGAGAGTAAGGAGAGGAGGGAGAAGGGAAAGCTTACGCAAGGTAGGGAGGTTCCGGCGCTTGCCGGGGGACCAATCTGGTCTCATAAATGTAAACATCCAGCATTCTTCTTGAATTCAGATAATTTAGCGGTGAATAGGATTGCTGTCAGTCTCAAAATGAAAATGAAATATGCCTATTTACATAAGTGAGGAGCTAAGGCTTATCATTTATTTACATTCACCATTATTTAGAACCCCGAAAGGATTAGCGGTTCAATGAGTTTGGGCTTTCTTGATATTGCATTAGAAATGAAACTTATCATTTGCTGAAGACTTTTTATGCAATCGCCCATGTAAGCTGGTCATATCGATACAATGTGCACGTCCCACCCCAATACACTTGTAAGTAGGGACGCTCTAGTGTCAACGCGAGCTGCGTAACGGAATCGACGACTTTTGCGTTCTGACGCGCCTTATCAGCCCTTATCAGTTGTAATCACTTTCTATCACCCACCAACAATGTCCCGTCCCACCCCACATAACACTTGTAAGTATGGTTGCTCTGGTGTCAACGCGAGCTAGGTAACGGAATCGACGACTTTTGCGTTCTGACGCATCTTATCAGCCCTTATCAGTTGCTATCGCTTTCAATCATGTACCACCAATGTCCCGGGACCACCCCACATAACACTTGTAAGTATAGACGCTCTAATATGAACGACAAAACGAAATTGGCGATGCTCGCTTTCTAGCCCCTCTTATCAGCTATTATCAGTCGTTATCAGTTCCTATCACGTACCACTTGTGTCCCCATCCCACCCCCTATAACATATGTAAGAACCACTGCGCTATCATTACTGTGACTCGAGCTATGAATTTCCGGTCAAACACACACACACAACAGACACACTATAGTAGGATTATTCTTCACGTTTTTAGGTGGGTTTTTCATCGGGTTGTATAGCAGTGTATCGCTTTGGCCACATCAACCCCACGATAGTTCTCACGCCTCCATCGAGCTCAAGGAAACCTGTCACTTCTATCGAATGGTCGCCAATGTATGTAGTTCCTCTCACCTGCTTTCACACTAAAGCTTTTGCTACCTAGCTGATGGAATGACTCATTTCAGCTCACCAAGTATCTTCTACTCTCTCCATGGACATCGCCGATTACTAGTCTGGGATCTGTCGATGGGACCGTCACCGCTAGCCGTCAACGATCTCTCTCAACAGGTAATTCCACAGGCTGTATGTACTAACCTCTGTAATTATGCGCTCCGTTACTCCAACTATGTAGTACAAAGAAAAGAAAGGACAAGAAACCAGTCACTAAAATTCTTACCCTCCCTAAACCCCCATTTGAGACGTCATGCTTGACTCTTGATGAACCTCGGCATATTAGTAGTTGAATGGTATTTGCTGAACTGCACCGGAGGTTGATACTGACAGTTTATTGGCTAACGTTTCGGCGAGTTCGCCTTCTTCGAAGCCTAAAAGGTTGGAAGTCGAGTTCATGATTGTCCGATACTTCCTCCTTTCGTCTCCGTAGAAGGCAAACTCGCCAGAACGTTAGCCAGTAAACTGCCTGTATCAATCTCCTGTGCATTCGACAAAACACATCTCACAATCATTCAACCTCATTTGAGAATACCAGGTAGAAGGTGGAGGGGGGAGGATCGAGTACTGCTTGAAGGAAGTGGTCACGATAATTCTCATAGGGACGATAAGGAAAGCTGTGTACTTGGAGTGGATAGGGGTCCTGCCCAATGTTAGAACACGTGAAGTTTCAGTGGCAGTGGCGCCTTATCACTCCGTTGATAAGGCGCCACTGCCACTGAAACTTCACGTGTTCTAACATTGGGCAGGACCCCTATCCACTCCAGTACACAGCTTTCCTTATCGTCCCTATGAGAATTATCGTGACCACTTCCTTTAAACTCTTTACAGAGCAACTGAGTTTTCCATTTCTCTGACTCGAATATTTGGTACCAAACATGTCAATGACGAAAAAAGCGCCGGCTTGTACATTGATTGGCTCCCTCATTACTCGTGATCCTCAAAGGCAACAATCGAAGATGAGTATTGGCTGATGAGTCCTTTTGTTAGGTGGAATAGAGCTAATGAGGAAGATCACGGATGTCCCGTTCTTAGCTCTCATCATCATAGATGAGCAACAAGAGCGCTATGGCCTAGCAACTACCGCTGTGACCAAATCCATTTTTGCTGATCTCTGCACCTTCTCGTCCGTTGTGCTATCTCGCCTATGCTCTCTCCTCTATCTCTAATTGTCTCAGCCCAAAAGTAGTAAATCTTTAACTTTACAGTTTTCGACAGATTCTTCTTTCTTTCTTCAGTGGTGGCCCACTTGGCATCGATACGTTCGCAAGAACCACATCAGTTTTATTCTGACACGTCCATTTGATACTGAGAACTGTGGAACCAGGGTCAACCGTCCGTTCGAACTGTTCGAACGAAGGGGTCGCATTTTGGTCGGAAGGGGGTCGCAATTTCGAGGACTGCCAGCCACAGGCGCGTGCGTGGCGTATCCGAGGGCAAGAATTGTTTGTGCAGACCGCATTAGATTCGATTAATTATGCACAGAGAGACAGTTTTAGGCAAATTACGGTGTTTTCCTTGAGGAATAAAGAACAGTTGAATGCATCCCTATGAAAGGTTTGACTTCTCGGGGCTGAAATTAAAGTTCTTCGGGACCTAATTTTCTGAGGACGATTCTTCCAGACAACGTAAAACACATAAGAAGCAGAAATCTCGTAGTCTTCAAAAATGTCTTCGCCCTCCCCAACAAGCTTCTTTGAAGGAAGTTATTATTGCTGAAAGCTCAAAAACTCGCATGTGCTGCTCAAAAACCTATGGGAACAAAATGTTCGAACGTGTGATTTTCTCGGAAAATGGATTTTGAAAAACGGTTTGGTGCTTGTCAGAAAGAGCAAATCCTGTACTTTCACCCCATGAAAAAAGTGCATCACAGAAATGAAAATGAAGTGAGTTATGCCCGCTTAAAGCCCAAAAACTCGCGATTGCTCAAAAACCTTCGGGAACAAAATGTTCGAACGTGTGATTTTCTCGAAAAATGAATTTGAAAAACGGTTTGGGCTTGTTAGAAAGAGCAAATCCTGCACTTTCACCCCATGAAAAAAGTGCATCACAGAAATGAAAATGAAGTGAGTTATGGTCGCTGAAAGCCCAAAAACTCGCTTTTGCACGAAAAATGTTCGAACGGGACAATTTTTTGAAAAAAGGGGACAATCACTAAACTTTTTATACTATTTTGTTAGAGAAATATTGAAGTTTCTGAAACTTTTTACAGATTTCCAAAATGTCGCATACGAAAGATTTTATGGGCCTTCAAAGTTGAAGGTGCGCCTTCTTAGAATTTTGGGTTTTCCACTTCTAACAGAAGTACTTTCCGGAGAGTTAGGCAATCCTTGTAGTTTTCTGGAAGCGCACCTCAGGCACAATCAAAATCTACCTCAACAAGTCAAAAAAATACGTCCCAAGAAAGTTTATTCCTCTAAAATTTTTTCTTCGCCGCGTCCCGTTCTTCCAGCGCCCGGGTGATACCTGCCGCGCTCCAAGGCCGACGCGACGACGCGCAGACGCTTTCTGGCGCAACGGATTCATGTCTAGCACTCTTATTAACAAAAACAGGGGGTCGCAACTGGACCCCCTCGAGAGCTAGGGGGTCGCAAAAATCCCGAAAATGTTCGAACGTGACGGTTGACCCTGCTTGGAAGTCCACTCATCAACGATGTATGCTTGTTGTAGTTGCCTTTGCAAAGCAAAAATCCACTTGCATTTGTTATTGTGACGGTTTGCGGCTCGCTCGTAAAGGGCTAGGTTTTCGCAACAAAATCAAGAAGAGCAAAGTATGGAAGCCTGGGGTCGTTATATTGCCCATTCATGATTGGCACTACCACTTTTTATAACTTACACCAACACTTTGTTCTAGCTGGATTTTTTGTGATAAAATCAGTTGAATATCAATAAAAGATTGGCTGCAATTTTTGTGCTTTCGCGGAATTGTTGAGGTGATCACGAGGCAGACTACCCAGAAATTCAGAACTTATCATGCACTCCGCAAGTGCCGGCGGATGGGGACCTCCTACATTCGAGACACAGAGTGATGTGCCATATTGATAAAATCGCACTCAAATAGGACCCTCCCAAATCGCTTAGGAATCACAATTTTCGATTGCAATATCTGTTTATGAACGCCTACATCTCGTGCCAAAACAGCAAAACATTCCCTGCTGTGCACTGTTCATTTAATCAAAATCGAGAATCAATTCCCCGTTTCAACAAGAATATAACACGGGACTTCGGTTGTTCTCACCGCTTCTCATAACGCTCTTTTCAGCTTTCTGCTAGCTGTTTTTTCATCGCGGTTCCATTTGGCGCCGTTATGCATAACTGTATGGTAATCTCCCAGAGGATCCTTCCGTTGTATTAGTTTTCGTATTTCTCGATCAACGAGCTTACTTCTTAACACATGGCTGCATAACCATTGAAATCCCTTCGATTATAAATGTAATGCCCTATAAACGAAGGACTACCTGAACGGCGTTTATAGTTTCCGACTCTGGAGACTGTAACAGTAGAGCAGAATTAGGATGGTGGCCCTGCCAGTTAGATACGTATTGATCGACTCACGTGCTGAGACGACCTAATCTAAGGTCAACGCTCCTTGCCCAGAACGAGGGGGTCCGTATTCGCCGAACAACGAAAGGGAGAAGGCGTATCCAGTTATACGAGCTGCGAGGGGTCTGAAAAATACAGTGTCTGGCAGTGCACTTTCACACTCTAATGTCCTCCAGGAGCTCTGCACCGAGCAAGCTGTCGGAGAGTCACACAGACACGAGCTCCATGGAGCATTAGAGCATGCAGAGCATTATAAGTCTTACTATCAGCTCCTTGATTGACACACGGACGCCGCTTTCGCTCGACTGCATAGATCAAGAGTACAATAGCCTAAAACTTTGTTACAGCGTAGCGCCAAAACATGGTCTGTCTTTGATGATCGAACATCCCAAGGAGAACAAATTATAGAGCACTATATGGGGAAGTGAAACAAGAGTACCATATAACAGTACAATGCAACTCAATCACGATATAACACCTTCTTCAGGAAAATGGGGGACTTTCAAATGCGAGTGCGACTTCTAACCACAGACAGGTGCACGGCGTATACACCGAGCAGACGTTTTCCCACAAAAACGCCTTCTGTGTCAGTGGCCGTGAGCAGACAAACTTTCAACGAAGATTTTGATGCATTTCTATACGAAGTTATTACGGGAACAAAGTGTAGCGAACATGCTAAACTGAATTCTAGAAACCCCTTAAGAAATTAAGGTAAAAAAGATATTCGAGGAAATTTACGAATGTTCTGAAGATCTTTCCGCGTAGATTTCAACAGTCTTTACCGCTTCTCATCATATGAATTTCCAAGGAAGTTATGGACCTTTAAATACTGCAAAGTTGCGTCTCTAGAAAATAGGCTTTAAGAAAAGTTAACGAGAAAAAAACGGAACACGGAACTAAATTTTATTTTTTTATTTTTTTTTCTCTGAATGAGTTTCCTGTAAAAAAGTGTTGGCATTTATTCGAAAGCTCTAATCTTCTAGTTCCTAATTAGCCTTAGACATCTGCAAAAAGTTGATTATGAAGAAAGTTATGAACGTTTGAATGTCGAAAACTCTCGCGCCTTCTCAAAAATCGGACCACAAACCCCCCAAAAACGGAACAACGGGACTATTTTTGAGAGTGGATCGTTGGAAAACCTCAGGTGCTCGTTTGAAAGCGTTAATCTTCTAGTTTCTAAATAATTAGCCTTATGGTTAGGCATCTGTAAAAAGTTGATTATGAAGAAAGTTATGAATGTTTGAATGTCGAAAACTCGCGTGTGCACAAAAAACGGAACAACGGGACGATTTTTTGAAATATTGAACATCCGCAACATTTCAAATACTTTTTAGAAAGAGAAACTATTTGAATTTAAAATTTTAGTGTCCGAATCCGTGACACCGCTTCTAAAGAAAAGCATAACCTTCTGAATGGAAGGCTTTGTATTGTAACGTAATTGCTGCAAGGTTTAGTTATTCACACTTATAAAAGAAGGAGAGAGTCCCGAGAGATTCGAATAAAAAGAACTTGTACCAGTTCTAAGAAAGTCAAAGAATCTCTGTGATTACTAATCATGTATGGTTTACACTCGAAAATCCATGTTGGCCGGTCGATTCCAGTCCTATGAGCAAGACAGAGCGCGCGGATTGACCACGGTCCACCAATTCTCCATGTTGGTGACTGCCCACACAATGATCCTACTTACTATAAAGCGCTTCGTCTGTCGTTCTGTATGTCTGTCACGAAATTCCCTAGCTCCTCGGGATCCGCCTGGAGGGACCGGGTCAAGTGTGGGATGGGTGGGCAAGGTCTCACGAAGTACAAAACACACATCAGCTAAGCGGAGCCCCGCCCACAGTGGGCGTGGCGTGCGTCGAAATGAAGTGTACTGACGACCAAGATTTCAATTCAGTGACAAAACGACCTCGAAACTGGGCCAAAAAGTGGGTAAAGGTGTGCATTGGTAAGTCACATCGAATTAGGGAGACCCACCCCCGGTGGGCGGGGCGTTCTCCAAAAAAGCAGTGCTTTATGAAAAATTTCATAACTCGGTTGGGAGAAAGCCTACAGAGCAGAAAACAAATTGGTGTAGGGGAGCAATGTCTAAGGTGTTCCCAGCATACATGACGTGGGCGGAGGCCCGCCCAATGGGCGGAGCGCGCTCTGAAGTGTACAGCATTTTCTACAAGTCCTCATAATTCGGGCCGGGGAAGTCTTAAAGAGCCGGGAAAAAGGTGGATAGAGGTGGGTGGAGGAGTGGAGGCCAGCTGTCATCGGTGGGCGGGGCTTGACCAAAGTGGGCGGAGTTTGCCAAAAGTGTCGCAATTCGGTTCCAAGAAGTCCCAGAGATAGGGGAAAAAGGGGTTAGAGGTCGGCGAAAGGAAGGGGGCCAAATGCTATTGGTGGGCGGGGCACGCACCGAAGTAGGCGGAGTTTGCCACGAGATTTATTGTCCGGAAGCAGTCCGGAGACCGGGAAAAAGAGGATAATGGTTGACGAAGAAAAAGAGGTTGAAAGCCGTCGATGATGGAGCGGATAGAATTTAGCTGAGAATTCAGATATTCGTGGTGTATCAAGCCAAATTTGAAAATTTTCGTCGCACCATCAAAATTCGCCGCAGATCTGTGTTGTGCGCGCAATGCGTGCGGCGCCAACTGGTGAGCATTAAATATGTGAAAGACATAATAGTTAATACGGGGGGGGGGGGTCGTACCGATACCCTCCGAAAAGGAAGGGGTCGTAAAAATTTTGGAATTTGCGCAACGCAGGGTTGACCCTGCGCCTAATCTGCTACTCTCCAGCGACTATCTACTACTATCCTGATATTCTATCGCCTACTATCATAATCTCCCAAATCGTGAACTATGAACGCGCTCCAAATAGTCGTTAGAATCAACAAATTTCTGCAATGGCATCGCTTCTTGTTCCACACCACTCATCGAGCTATCGGGTTTACGTCTCACAGATTGTTTTATCCTCTACAGAAGCCAGTTTGTTCTAGAATGTGACCCTCTCGGTATGTACTACTGACCATTACAGATCCCCTCCAAAGTGACGAACACTCGAATATGGCTTGAGAAAAATGAGAACAAATCTTCAAAAGGGATTGCTTATTTGGTCAGTCTACTCCTTTAGCACTCCAAGCACATGCAAAACACATATTACCTTCGTATTTTAAATGTTTATAGTGTTTCAGGTCTTGGGTCTGAGTACTGGAGAAGTTCAAGTTCATGCCCTGGAGACAATTAGAGCGAAAAGAGAAGGAAATCTGTTGACAACACTTAAAATGTTAGACGATTAACCAAATGAATGTAGCAGATAAAGACTAATAAACACTTGGAATAGCAATGTCAGTCACTGTGTGCATGAATATTGACTTTAAGAATAGAAGAAAATACGTGAGATAGCAGATATTTCGGATGTAGACGTTAGCAAATGTGCAGTGGCGCGTTCACAGGCGGATCACTTCTCCTTGTCCTGCGTCTCCGAGTGCATTGTTCGATCCACCTTCAGTTCTTTGCCATTGTCTTTGCCATTCTGTTTTGCCCCTTGTGCTTGACTGGCAGCGAGCTCCTTAACAATAACTTTTTACAAGTGTTCCTATTCCTATTTCGTTCGAAGGAGGTGACAGCATTAGATAGCAGGACGGCAATCACGGCTAGACTCCGCGAAGTTCTACGTCTTGAATTGTTTTCTCGCGTGCGGTTGTTTAAAGCAACAGTCCCAGCAGGGTGGGCGTGGTCGGAAACGGCTGCAATCCCCTCGGCCGATTCCCACTTCGGAGCTGTTCAGCCCCTAGTCAAGAACGTAGGAAGTGTGACTGAACAAAAACTCACCTTGGAAAGCCGCTGAAGTGGGCGTGGTCGGAATCGGCCGAGGAGATTGCATGGGTGGGTTGCCTTTCCAGCGTGAATTCGTCCTTTAAATGCAGCGAATGAGCTAGTGTTGCAGCGCTATATGTACAGGGGTGGCCAAAAAAAGACACTTCACTCCACATTCAAAACGGAATTATTTACGCGTTGCGAAACCAAACCAAATGACCCAACTGAATATTAAAGAGCACGTTATAATCTATCAACAAGCTACACAACAGCCTTCTACACCGACGACATCAGAAGATTTTCCCACGGAAACATGTGCACGGTACGAGCTCAACGAGGTCGTCGAGGTACCATAGACGATTACGACGTCCTGAAACGCTGGTCAAAAGCGGTTTGCATAGTCACAGCTAGTGTCTCTGGGAAGCTATTCACAGTTAATCCATTGAAGAAATTATGTAGCAGCTTCAGGCCGGAGCGATTACGGTAAGCCTCGTTGAGCTCGACGGTGACGGCAGATGACGTCATATTCTGAAGACGGCGGGGCAGTGAAGGAGGGCCTGCTTCTGTTTACGGGGAACACCTAAGGAATATTCGCCGTAAAACTTTCATTAACATCGGCTCCCTGTGCGACGAAAAGTTCGATGATGTGCGCCATGGGCTAAGTGTCTTTTTTTTGGCCACCCCTGTAGATGCAGGACTGTAAGTACCAGCTATTTTTCAGGCGGTGTAAACTCAACATAAAAGATTGGTCATTTTCGCTTGTAAACTATGCCATGACTCCATCATAGGACCCAATAAGTTTGAAACTATATTGAAGAACCATCATACTAGCGGAGCTCTTAGCGCTACTGTTGTAGTCGTAATTGACATCAGACTGAAATGAAAGGAGGAGTTTTGTTTGTGAGTCATAGACGCCACCATTTTGTATGGTGTGGAGCGGCATGTCTTTATATGCACCATTGATAAAGCAATAGTTGATCACCCTCAAAATAATTCCGTCACAGAGACGGTGCTAGCTGTAATACAGCATCCGTGGGTAAGATGGATGGGACTTCTCCACAGACTACGTAATCTACAAGAACTTGTTATCCGTACTACTCTACATCACACCAATGTGGATTTATGTTTAGTGGTTTTACTCGCCGAGTAGCAGCTAATTTCAGCTAATCTCAACTTCTGAATCGTTCCATCCTTAGCCTTGGCCTCCTCGCACAGTAGTCGTAAAGCGCTAGCAGGAGGAGTCAAACTCTCGCGCGCAGATAAATAACTCAAACCGCAAAACATGGCGGAGTTTAGCTGCAATCCAGGGCGGCCTTCTTGAGGCAGAGTTTACAACTAGAAGGCAGCCCATTAGAATTCAGATGGAGGTGATCATCGGTGCCGATACGGAGAAAGAACTATGAAAAACGGCATGGAATCAGAAAAATGATGCCGCTTCTTTACCCTTTGATTTCAACATTCTAAGTTTTCACTTCTTCCACCTCTTAAAATGAATCCTCCTCCAAGCGGAGATATTGTTCCCATTTCACTGCTCTAATTTTTGGGCAGTAGAAGTAGGGTGTTGCAGTGTAGACCTGAGGAAAAGTCAACAGATTCACTCTCGCAGAAGATTGACCGGTGTTTCGTTTCTCGCACCCCCTTGTTCTATCGTCTCTTTGATGTCTGCTCCGTAGTCTGGCACCCATTTTTCAGTGCTACAGTCCATACCTCGCCGTCTGATTAGGCGTGTCTATGGATTTGACGTGGCCGTCGCCGCACTTGATAGAAGTCGTGTGGATAAGCTGTTTCTAACATACTCCGCTGGATATCAGCGAAGCATGCTGGAAGCAGCTTATCCGCGCAACTTCTATCAAGTGCGGCAGCTATCCGCTAGCTGCGACAAAGCCATAGACACGCCTCTTCAGACTTCGAGATATGTACTGTACAGTCGATATCCGAAAGTTGGGGTGGGTGTGTCACCGGAAGTGACGTGCACTTGATAGAAGTGCGTGGATAAGCTGTTGCCAGCATGCTTTGCTGATAGCCAGCGATGTATGTTGGAAGCAGCTTATCCACATAGCTTCTATCAAGTGCACGTCACTTCCGGTGACACGCCTACCCCAACGTCACATTCGACGACAGTCACTTTCGGTGACCCGCCCGCCCCACCCCTCCGATATCGAGTATATGTGTGCTTCTCTGACGAAACCATGATTTTTCCAGCTTTTTGTAGGATTACGTACGTGTCAACGATTGAGCTACTCAATCAATCTCACTAAAAACAGATCGCGGATCGTCCCCTCATCCACCTCCAGCCGTTGTTATTCTTTTCGGCGTCAGCGCCCTCTTGAAAGAATTCAGAACCGCATGGCAACCACAAATGACATCCCTCAGTACACATCAAGGAAGCGATTTTTGACTATGGTAACCTACGGCTCAAAGCCACTGTGAGTAGAAATGCGATTAGACTGCACAAAGAAAGAGATGACTTATCACAAGTAACAAGAAGCACTCACAGACGCTATAGCCGCATTCATTTCATCCATCAGAGATTTCTCGGGACTAAAAAAAGTATTGTACAAACAGATGGGCAGTTACAGATAAGGGTGAAATGAGCGTCTTTCGATCACCACCATTATCACTTACTATTGGGTTTTCGCTTCCATGCTCCTGCTTCTTTTCCTTAAAAAACGCATTTCAAGGAGGCTGACTCAATAAAAGTGGAACATCTCTGAACAAACGCACCTCTCTTCAGCTTTTTTCCTTCTCTCCTTTTCTGCCTGAATAAATGAAACTGTTATTCGTGTGCGCGAAAAATATTTGAGTCATTGAAATGAGGCATATTTTTCACGAGATTCAGAGGGAGAATACGAGATAACGATGGCAGATGGAGGGTCAGTCAGTACTTTATCGCTATTTTTTCATCACAGCTAGTATCAAAGTTTATAAACTGCATATTCGAACTACCAGGGTGAAGGCTTTACATTGGAGGGAAATCTTTAGAGAAAGAATTTGCGATGAAAAGTTGGCTCATTGGAAATAAGGGTAGGTGGTCAGTGGAGCAGGGATGAACAAGAAACCATTGGGAACGGCCTGAAACCCAAGAAATGGAACCCTTTCTTTGCCCGTGGATTTGCGCATTGATGCACATGCGCTGTAGCCCCGTCCCGATTCCCCCCCTTCAAAAAATCCCAATAACCTACAAACCCCTACAACATACAGAAACCCAAATAATACTCACCCAGTTAAAACATAAAATCTACGAATAAGCATATCCCGAAAAATCACTTTAATCGCAAGCACGTATGGACGCTGCAGCGTCGATGATTAGATTTTCGATGGGCTACTACGCACAACCGCGTCAAAGACAGTGAGCCCAATGCTAGATCGCCCGACTTAAGATTAAAATTCTTCGACCTGCGAATTGGGTGTGGTCAGCACCCCACGCGAGGTCCACCTGCTCTCCCAACTATGCTATCTCACTCTTTGAGCGCTTGCGAAGAGGTCTTGCGTCGAATTCCTCCCTCTGGAGTTTAAACGTTCCAATGTCACTACCTTTATAGGCGATCGCAATCCTTGGAGCTCCTAGATGCCGCACAAGAAACGATTGCAAAGAAAGGAAACCTCTCAAACTTGATTCCTAAATACAAATATGAAAAAGAAATATCCGAGAATGTTAAACTAAACTACGCTGATCTCAGTGCAGACTCCATTTCTTCTGATAACGATTTCTCGGGACTGAAAAGAAGAAAATTTGTCTAAGAACAACTTCAGCTCAGTGTTTCCATGCAGTGGAGGGGGGGGGAAGGGAACGTAAGAATTTCAATGCACCAACGGTATGGTTGACCCTGCACAGCACGCTGACAGCATGGGACAGAGTTCGCGGTCACGTCTACCTACGGGTACGGTAATTCTCCTCAGATATGGCAAGATACGGTAAAGACAGAAGCCGTTAAGACCTCTGTGTAAGGAAAGCGTTAACATCTCCCATACTGTTGGCCTGCTGCTTGATTAAGAGGGTTTTGGGCGATTTTTTTTTTCACATTACGTTTTTCATCAGTAATGGATCAATCACACTAGGGTTTCCTTTTTCAGTCACAATTACGTAAACCTATCCAATCGAAAGAAGTGATTTGATTATTGATTACCATTGCGTCTTCGCCTCTCTGGATTTGCGATATTTCCTGAAAAAAAGTGTGGTTTGGATGAGAGCGGATTAATATTATATTTTCAATGTAAGACTCCGCACCTCCAACTGTCGTCCTCAGTCTTCCTCGTTTTCGGCTTGTGCGGCTTGTCCTTCTCTCTTTATTCTCTTCGCTGTTCTTTTTTCTTCTTTGCTTGGCTTGTCATCACTGCTTCTCTTACCGTCCTCACTACCTTTTTTCCCTTTTTTCTCATCTTTGCTGATCCTTTCGTCACTACTTCGTCTGTCGTCACTTTTTTTCTCCTCTGCTGCTTTTGCCTCCTCCTTGCCCTTCGTCTATCGTTTTCCATTACGCCCCTCTGAATAAAAAGTCGACCCTACGATATACAATGCAAATTCTCAGAATCCAACAACTTCTAAGTTGGTCCTACTAACCCGCGCAGAACCAGCTAACGTCGGTGTGCTGATTTGTTGGTCGTTTGTCTTCATGGCCTTTTGTAAGATCTCTATTTGTCTTGCACCGTTTCAACACCTATGACTGACTCTTTTTAACTCTGCTAGTGCGGGAAATAAATTTAGCAAAAAGACCCGTTGCATGCCTGAACAAACGAACCCATGTGGTATCAGGACCATGCCTGGTAGCCAAAGACCTGTGGACTTGCCACGGATGCGACGGGTGCCGCTTGGCGCACCGTGTGCCCCGCTCACTCGCGCTCGGATGCCAATGCACAATGGACGTAAGCAAACCAGCCCTTTTGGCGCTTCGGCTGGGACCGTATGCTGAATGTTGGGAGGGGGATGGAGTCCCCGACGGTGGACGGACCACTTCAACTCGGTCCTTAGAACCGCCACAATTTGGTGCTTACCTCAGAACTAAGCCTTTAAAGAGAGGACGGTCCGTCCCCTCTCCCAAGGCTTAGTCCTGGGGTGAGCAAACCAGCCCTTCTGGCGGAGCTGCTGGACCAGCTGCACCACAATTCGTGGTCAACACTCTCCTTCTTAATTCCGTACCCAAACCGAGCTGAAAGGAAACGATTGACGCGTGTGGGGACCCATCCGCCTCCCAAACATCCGACAGCAGTACGGTCCCACGCCGCAAAAGCGCGCACAAAAGGGCCGGTCTCTTGCTGTACCTCTGCGCAATGCTCCTACTTTGTCGTCATATCGCTCGTCACAAGCCGCCCGTGCAAACCGTTGTTCGCCAGACCATCAGCCCCGCGGTGAGCGGTCGCGTCCACGCTATCTACCTAGCTGCCGGGTGAGTCATGGATAGGTGTGCGAGCCCCTTGCAGTTAAGATCCCCTGCTTGAAGGGGTATTGCGTTGTCCTCAAGGCTGGTAGCCGCTGGCCCATCGGTCTTTGGGCAACGCAAGGAAGCAAAACTCAAAGCGAGCCGGGAACAGTCCTTTTCTTCGAGCCAAAGTTGGCGGAGCGCCGGATCGTGTCGGTGTTACGACCCTTGCTCCCCTGTCTGGTGAGAAGCCTTGTCATCCTGCCCCGCAAGGCTCCCGACCGTGAAGGACTCGAATGAACGGTCTTGAGCGTTTATGAGGTCTGAGCAGGGTCAACCGTCCGTTGGACAAAGTCCAACGCGACGACGAGAGTAATGCCGAGAGTGAACGTACGCACGGAGACACAGACGGCTCGCGGGTGGCGAGAGTGAATGCCGGCGCGGAGAGCGGTGAACATCGGTCCAACGTCGCTCCAATATCGGTCCAACGTAACGGTTGACCCTGGTCTGATGCGGCAGTGAGCTGGCGTGGTCTACCCTTGAGCGAGGTGGCCGAGGGAGATCAGAGGTGATGGTAAGTTATTGCGTATAATAAATATATTGTTTATATGTTGTGTTTATGCTCATGTGGGTTTTGCCCTATGTGTTTGTGTATGTTGTTTGCGCCATGGTTGGCAAGGGTTTGGCGCGCTTGGTTCTGACACGGGAGCTGCGGAGGCAGTAGGGACCCGTTAGGAACCCCATGGTCCCCGAGGGGTTGGTCCGCCTTCTCCTGCGGGGTGCGCAGGAGAGGTGTTGTGGGCCCGATGGAAAGACCTTGGACCGAGGGGTTCCAGGCGTCAAAAGTTGTTAGGCAGATCCGACGGATGTCTACCACAATAGGTCCACACCCCGTTTGCGACAGAACTGCTATTATAGTGATTCGTTTCCTTTTTCTTTCTGTTTTCATTATTTGAAGGAGCTTGTCGACTGGCTTATGAATGTAATTACGATGTGATGCAGCGCAGGGTCAGTCGTGTTTACTCTATCCCTACGATGGGGGAGGGTTTGTACTTCCGATTTTGTTTGATGGCGATGGTGACGGGGGCGTTCATATCCGAAATTTTCTGGGGGGTAGTTGTGGTTGAGGATTTCAATAGGAGTTGGGCTGTGTTATGTTGTCTTAAGAATCAAACGCTATGGAATCGGTCATGTGCGGGGATGGGGAACGCAGAGCACATTATGGGACTCTTCTGAGGCTGTGGTGGTGGCGAGAGATCGCATTGATACCCTCTAGAGAAAGGTGGTCGTAAAATTTTTGGCAACTGGAACAATGGACGGTTAGTCTGCGCGTCAGAATGCGGGTGCCCTTGAGGCCAGACGGCCCGGAAAACCTGGTAGAGGATGTCTGGAAGAGGAGTGTCGTTATCTGTATCTGCGCATAATTACCTATCTGTTACCCATACGTAACCTCTTTCGTGTTGCCCCTTCAAAGAATCTTAGTTTGGGTAAAATGGTTTCCAAAATACCGTGCACTTTTCACTGACCTCTTCTTTGCTTCCTTTCTTCTTAGCTTCTTCTTCTTCATCCTTCCAAACAGGATAAGCTTGGGTTTTCTTGAAAAACGTCGGAGTAGCTCAAGTACTGTCGTGGAAATCTATTTCTCTAGCCTTTTTTTCTCACTGGCCTTTCGCTAAAGCTGATGTGCTGTGTTACTGTCAGTTCATCAAAAAATTCACAAGAAGGTCAGTTTTATTGAACTGACTGATGAATTCAGTCTAGAAGAACATGTCGCACATCTCGATAATTATAACGAATCTCTCAGAAAGGCATGTTGCCAAGGGGCCAAAGGGTTTGAATTGGTGCAGATATATTGGTTGGTTGTGCTGCATTTTCAGCCGGACAACAGCTTAATCCCATCATAATCCTGCGTGCACACTAATGCAACACTGCCTCACCCCACTTCACCTACAACCGACACAGGCACGTCCCAATGTTCATCTGCTCGTCGATTAAGTGGCGTACGCAGTAGGAAATCTCTTCATTTTAAACCAGTTTAGCTGCGCACGCATTCGCGTGCATCACACAATTCTGCGGCACTGTGTGGTGCGGCGTAAATTCTTAAACTTGGCCCCAGCAACATTTGATAATATTAGGATGGTAAAAAAGTCCTGAGCCGTTTGACACTTTTTTGTTCTTTACTTTTTTATTCCGCGTACAATGGAATCTACTAAACAATATAATCACCATTGTTACTCACTACAGAGTCCCACCTAATGGCAGGTCAGCGACCCCTTCTCCCAGAACTGAGCAGACTGAGAGTCAAAGAAATCGCTGACCGCTCTTTCAACGTCTTCAACTTTGGTGAATTTTTTCTTCGCTAGGAATGCCTTAAGGGGAGCGATGCAAGTGACAAGCAGTGGGGGGCAATGTCAGGGGAAATAGGGAGGGTGGGCAATCGCGTCTCAGATCAGCTCTTCCAATTTTGCACGGGTCTCTTTATGTGGGCCTGGCGTCATCATGGAGTAGGTGGACAGAAGTTCGTCTCGGTCGTTTTTCTTGAACAGCGTCCGCTAGTTTCTGAGCTGACTGGCGTAAATGCTGCCGGTAGCGGTATGTCTTTACGGGAGCATCTCATAATACAGCATTCCTCACGAATCCCAGAGGTAGCAAAGAAGACAGCTTTTGGGGTGAAGGTCCGATTTTGCTTGTGTCGGCGGCTTCTCTCGAGGGAGCCACACGGCACTGTGCTTGTTAGAATCGTAGAGGACCCAACTCTCATCTCTCGTAATCATGCCTTCCAAAAACTCCTTTCGGTGCGGACAAAGAAGGAGAAACTGACAAATGGGTACCCGCCTGAACCGCGTGCTATCGGTCAAGACATGAGGGATCCATCGAGTCGGCACTTTCCTGTGGCGAGGGCGTGGAGGGGACCGAGGACTGTGGGATGGGTGCACCCGAGTCTTATCACAAGGCTGCGGGTGCTAACCTCCGGATCCTCTTCGACAGCGCCGAGAACGGTGGAGTCTTCCACTGTTTGGGGCTTCCCAACCTTGTCTTGTCTTCGAAAGCCGTGTCTCCTCCTTCGAAGCCTGCGAACCAGAGCTTGGCACTGATGATGGAAGTGGTGTCCCTTCCCAATGCGATGCTGATAATGTTGACGGTTTCCACTGCTCCTGTGCCGCAGCGCCATTCATTGAAGATGATCGCTCGAAAGTGTGTGAATCGACATCATGATTAAAGTTAAAGAAGGCAACCCGGCTATATATACCTACTGCGGAGAAGTATGATCGACAGCGATAGTCTATCACGTAGCAGATTCTAGGTATCGATCAATAAGCGAAAGTTCTGGAGCTTTCGAAAAATCGGCTCAGGACTTTCTTACCATCCCAAGTACAATAGCGGTTTGATATGCAATAGCGGATCTTCGCGCTAACCACTTCGATGCACTAATCGCATTTCACCTCCCTCCACTGCTAGCTTCTGTGCAATGATTTCCTCTACTAAGGGTCGTCAGGGTGTTGAGTTATGACGGCGAGGAATCTCCGCCACTCCGGTGCACCCCTCCCCAACAGCTTTTAACCCTCCTTTCTTCGCTAACTTCAGTCCACTTTTTCCCGGTCGAGGAACTTCTTTCAACCTAGTTATGAATTTCGTAGCAAACTCCGCCTACTTTGGCATGTTCCGCCCGACCAAAAGCGATTGACCCCATTCCCTCCGCTAACCCTTATCCACTTTTTTCCCGGTCGCCGGGACTTCTAGGAACCGAGTGTAAGAGTGGTAGCATAACTCCGCCCACTTCATGTGTACGTTTACGCTCGCCTCCTCCTGTCACCCCTACACACGTTTTTTCTGGTCCCTAATTCATCTCGAAGCCGAATTATGGCCTTGTAGGAGACGCAATGAGTCATGAATTTTCTACGTCATCTCGGAGCCGATTTATGAGCTCTTGTAGGAAACGTCGTCTACTTCAGGACACGCTCCGCCCATTGTGGGCGGGCCTCCGTTCACATCATGTGTGCTGGAAATACATTGCTTCCCTGCACTAATTTCTTTCTGCTCTGTAGGCTTTCTCCTAACCGAGTTATGAATATTTTCATTGAGCACCGCTTTTTTAGAGAACGCCCACCGAGGGTGGGTCCCCTCAATTCAGTTTGGC